ATCATCGAAAAATAAATATGTCCCAAGGATCCAACTCCAACCCTTCCCTCTCCATCCCTGGGATCAATCGGCAAACTTTCCACGATGCATGACTCCCCCCGCAAACGTTCCGAACACATTTCCTGTAGTACCGATATTTCGACTTAAGCTATCTCTCACTCACTCGTCCCACGTCAAGAAAAAAAGGGAGAAAATAGAGACTACCGTTGAAAATTTCATGGATGAACCAAGAATTACCCCCGTGCGTATTGAATTCATATCATGGGGGCGAACACACAACACCCGCTGTGGTGCCGATGGCGGGTTTAGAAGCTTTGCGCCTATCGTACGGGGGAAGTCTGCCGATCGTGCTGGCAGTTTTCCGAGTGATAATGCATGATATCTCATACTATTAGGTTTTTGAAATTTTATAACTTATTCTACCATATCTTCACACGATGGCCAGATCCATACAGTATGCACTGTTGACATAATAATAGATTATCTATTATGGTAGAGGAAATACAGTATGGAGCGTAGGTCACAAAAGGCAAACCCCAATCAAAAAAGGGGAAGAGAAAGGAGCAAAGATCAAGTATCATAGCTGCATTTCCCCAAACAGGACAAAACCCCATTCTACGCGGACAGAAAAGGAGAAAGAAAAAGAAAGTCCCTATTACACCTGGCAACTAAAAACTCCACCCATTTCCACTCAGCAAATTTCGTAAGCAGTAGCGGTAGCCCGGTTAATCTACTCATTGCTGTCATTACTCCGCCAGCACATTCCTAAGCTGCAGTAAGAATTCCACCTGCAACTTCAGAATCTCGCTGATTTCCGGCTTTTCCGGCTCGCCAGCGCTACGCCTTAAATGGTCCTGCTTCTTTTTCCTCCGACGCTTCTCGGCTTCGATTGGGTCGGCTTGGTCGTCGGATTCGTCCTCGTCGCTGGAGTTGTTGTCGTCATCGACGTTGTTCAGATCGTCAAGGTCAGTCTTTCGCTCCGTTAGCCTCGAATTATGTGTGGAAAGCGGGAGGGTGTGAGGTACCTCGTTAAGGTGGAAATCAGACGTTGTGAATGCGTTGTCGGGGGCGGTGTTGAGCCATCCGTTCATGTCACCTCCGCTAGCCATCTTTTGCCTAGTCTTGTCTTCATGCCACTTTCTCCTTTGGGCTTGCCATTTGATCAATTGATCGATCTCTTCTTTGGCTTTATTGCCGTCGATATCACCGCGCAGGACGGCTTCTTCTACAAGGCGATTCATATCTAGTGGGCCCGATTTAGGGCCACTGCGAAGGAATGACAGAATTCCTTCTAGCCAACCCATGAGCTTCTCGAAAAGCCCATCGTCGTGGATGTGGACCTCGTGGACGAATTTGTAAAAGTTATTCTCGTGGCGAGCGCAAAGGTCGATAAAGGCCTGGACGGTCTGGTTAGGGTCCGAAGACATGTCTATAGATTCAACCGTCAATGTTTCTTTCTGCTTTCGATCTTGGCGTCCAAACTGGAGGGATGGTCTTGCCTTGGCTTTGTGCCTTTTCCACAACTTCCACCATGTCGTCAGCAAACACGGCAAAGTCTGTTACACTGTTGTATACATTTGCCGATTTGTATACCCTGATCAGCGGTTCGTAAAAGATGGTGAAGAGGTCGCGGAAGAGCTGCAGTGTTACTGGCTGAACCCCCAAGTAATTAGCAGGCGATCAATGCTCCTAAAAGTCATGCTATACACACCTCTCCGATTATAGCTAACATCATGTTCTTGTCTCGCTGTCTGGTGTACAGCTTCAACAATTGTTTCAGGTAAGCGAACAACTGTCCGCCTGCCCTCATATCGTCGATCTGGGCCATATGATATCAGTACGATATCCGAATTTAGCTGTTGCACACGGAGACTCACATTTTCAACTGCATTGTTCCAGCCCACGTAAGCGTTGAATATAGTCTCCACCTGCTTCGGTTCGAGTTCTGGCTCTATCCTTTCCGATCTTAATATAGCGACAATCAGATCAACTTGGTCGAGAACCGCATCCATTCTAATCTCCTCGCGGGTTTCTTCATCGATTTCGGTAAACTGCCTCAGCTTGCTACAGAGCACCGGATCGTTGATTTTTACCGTCAAAGAATCTATGCTCTTTTGCAGCTGCCTGATGCCATCGTTTATAGCCAGAGAAAGAATTCGTTGCATCAATGACCGGGATCCAAACGGCGTTGCCAAAAATAGATCCAGCACTCCTGTCATCACAGCGGCTGGATTGGCAATGCGAATAACATTTTTGAGAATTGTGTAAGGAATTAAGGAGTGAATTCTCTTAGCTTGATGAAACAGCTCGGGCGAGTTATCTTCAGCGAGGAAAATGTGATAAATAGTCGCAGCAACCTCTATCCTGAGCCATTCCGCAAACTTCTTATATTGCAATGAGAGATCTTCAAGTTTGTCCTTCTCTCTTATTTCCGCAAAAAGTTTCGTTAATCCATCTTTACAAACGTCAGTATTTGTTCCACAGGATGGTCCATCAATTTGGAAAAAAAAAAGTACTTACTGCTTTCAACAATCTCCCTTCTGAAACTCTCCATGTAAACATCGAGCTCTCGAGCTCTCTGTCTTGCAATCTCATAGAACTTCTGTTGCTCCAAAATTCTAATATGATCCATTTCTCGCCGCCTCGCTTCATCGTTAAGCTCTTCTTCATTCAAAGTAATAGGGTCTTTCAGCAGAAAATCATTCATCGCCCTAGATTTTGCAACCTGGGCATCGCCAAGTAGAACCCTTAAGAATGCTCTCAATGATATCCTCTGGTTCTCACGCCAGAGGGTGACTGGCTCATTTATACTGCTAGCCAAAGAGTTTCGAGAAGCGTTGCGACTATGCTTGCTTATGCCTAAAGAAGCGCCTAATGATTGAGACCGTTTGTGGCCACTGCCACCCTTCTCGCCATTTGCATTCACAGAGTTGCTAGAAGTTGTCGAAACAGAGTACGTAGAGGACCGGTCATCGGCTGATGACATAGAGAGCAAACCCATAGTCGACGTTTGAGATTTATTGATCTTCCGTGGGAGAGCCGGGAGAACCTTTCCTGGAAGCTCGTTCCGAAGCTGTCGCGCCAAAGTCAGCAGCCGCACCTCTCGGCTTAGTTGCCTTCATAGATCCCTTACATTTCGATGGAGGCGGGCGAATGCGCCATACCTTCTGCCAACAATCACATCTGGCTGATCCATTCTCTTTGTGCGAATCAAGAACTCCTAAAAAGGGCGTGGTAAGAGAATATCCAGGAGCGAACCAGCCGTGCCCACTTACTGCATGTGTATGATACCGCACGGTCCTCTTGATACTTGTTTGCCTCACTGAAGCAACATTGACATCCCAGCCGTTAACCCAATGCCCCTCCGTCATATTGACTAATATACCGTTCTCACTCGCAGCTCGGTCGGCCCCTCCGGCAGCCTCAATTTCATCAAACCCAACACTCTCCTCATAGCCAGATGCCGTAGGGATACCGGAGTTCATCATTAAGGCAACAACCTTTTCACACTTCAGGGCAAGCTTCCTCCGCTTGGTTTCCTCTAAACGATCCTCGGAGGACGATATTCGTTTGTTTGCAAAGGATTCGAGAAACTAAGAGTCATAAGCGTTGCCCATGTCAATCCCGCGAACCGCAAACCCACCACTTGTAGTCTATCCTGCCAGAACTCCTTCTCCCTCGCTTGATCCAGGAACGGGAAATTTCTAACATGGTGAACAAAGATGTATCTTAAAATCGGTAATTCACTATCGACAGGAGCGACCTCTCCTAGGGGTGAGCGGAAAGGCGCTCCGAAACGTTGTAAAGCTGTCGGGGAGTTGAGCTCTGAGATCTCGAACTGAACCTGACGGGAAACGAGCTCCCTCTTAAGATCTGGGAGAAGTCAACACTTGCTCAGCTCCTATGGAAAATGTAAAGTGGGGTATTCTCAAGGAGCGAAGATATCTCGACAAACATACAGTGCTCTTGCTTCCCGGCCAAGATATTCTTCTTACCAGAGATGGGCAATGAGGACAGATCTGGTGGAGCCGGGGCCGTCATAACGAGGGAGAAGCTGAGATAAAGCGTGTGCTAAAGATTCTAATCCGAACGATAAAAAAAACTAAAAACTAGGAAGGTGCGGGCAAGTTAAGATGGACTACCGTCTAATTAAATCTATCGTCGGAGAACAGGGGTTCCAGAGGAGGGGGGGGCGGGGGTACTTGTAGCTGGAATAACAAATAGGGTTTGAGAACACTCTTGAGGATGATAATTATGATAGCTGTGGTGGGGCCCAGGGGGTGGTTGGAAAGCAGGGTGAGAAATGCAGGGATCGCTTCTCACAGAAATAAGAGGGCTCTTCCCCCCGTATCTACTCGAGTATGATAGTATGATACCGGCATCTACGGCACAGGCACACAAACGTTCAATCTCTCTTCCCTTTCATCACTCTTGCAGGAGTCAAGAGATTTGACCAAGGGCCTTCGGGGATAGAGTGACACGAATGACGTACTCGCACAAACGCTGCGCCCCCAGACGCGCAACTTAACCGCCAAGCCACACACCAGATTCATCGATTTCAAACCCGACCAAAGCCCTACGGTAACCTATGGAGAAATTATCCTTCTGCATTTACCCTTTATCTAGGTAAGAATAATACTATGCGGCGCAGTACTGTAGTTGCGACCAATGGAATCTTAAATTTGCTAGACAGAGAAGCTACCATATCATACGGTACTCGAGCACAGCACATCACAGCACGATAGTCCACAAGCACGCTGTGCGCTTCAGTATTATTATGATCCACCCGAAAACTCGAAGCCCATCCATGATCCTCCTAACACTTCCAATCCCGGCAAATAGTTCCAAGGCCTTTGTTGGGTGAATACAGCACAGTATCGCCTCGGTGTTTCTACTAGCAATGTTCAAGAAAACTCGCCCCGCCTACGCTACCCACCTGATTCCAAGGTTACCGGTAGCCTAGCACCGACGAGCTTTACCCGACTAAGACCAATATAGGGCAATAAAGTATACGTATGATAATAATAATATTATTATGATATAATATTATGCCGTACAGTATGGATACACCCGCACTTTCCTTTATACCATCCCATACAATACCAGACATGGGTGCACTGGAATTCCTATCATAGCACAAAAAAACCAGCCCTAAAGGGTGAGATTCCTCCGAATCATATATGAACAGGGCATTTAGCAGCTACGTTCCCCCAGCAAGCAGATTTTCCTCCCAGCATCACAGGCCCAGTTTTTTTCAACGACCTTAATAACACTTATGGTGACCAATAGAAATGGGACGTGCAGGGGACCCACAGCTTTTTGATGCATTTTGGAACTCTTCCCGTTGAGGCTGGAAGGAAGGAAGGTGTGAGTACTCGCACAGTACGTTCTCATACGATTCTAATTTCCCATAGGTATTGTGAAATCTGGATTTTTCCTTCCTCACACACGTTGTTACTCAATTTTCAACTCTTGGCAAAATAATCCCCTGTTCGGCATGTCACAAATGCCATGGTATTTATATGGCGTAAGGTATCCCTCATAATATCACATCTTTGTAATTAATTGGGGACGTGTCCGGCTTGCCACAAATACTGTACAGTACTGTACTCGAGTAGTATGATAATAATATTATGATGAAATTAAATATTATTCTTGTCCCTAGTGTCAGAGGGATGCTTAGTTTCTCAATTACTCTCTTTCTCATTTTTGCTTTCCTTCATACTATGACATACCGGTATTTCGCAAAAAAGACAAGCACACCCAGCTCCATTTTACCCTTCTTGAGCAATAGAGCATAGTGATCACAGTCTAAGGTTGTCCTGGGCCAACAACGGCTCAAGGAACCGCTGGAGATCTGTCTTCCCCCTCCTTCTCCTCCCACTTACCGGTATTGTGCACACCGTACGGTTTTGTGCTGCGCTTTACTATTCCTAATGGGTTCTTGACGGAGAATTCGGCCAACTTCTCCCCGTCTTACCATACCATGCATTCCCGTAATCCCCACCCTTAATTCCCACTTCCACTTCCCACTCCCATGGTTACTGCAGTACCCCATACGAAAAAACACCAAAATCCAGAATACTTGTACGAATCTCACCATCCCTCGCGATCTCCCACCCCACTCCGGAACCCCAGCGCGGGTACGGTGCTGGCACAAGCATGGGCCCACAATAAAGTTAATGGACAACTAGTTAGGTTCATCCGCGAGATATTCCCCCGCACTCTTCCAGTGGCTTTAACCCCCCATTGAAACGCTCGATATCCAAGTTAGTCAGTTGCCGAAATCCTTCTCTCAAACCTCAGCTGAACCCGCCAAAAACCGTATCATACCCCCCCCCTCCCCCAAGTGCCAATCCCTTACTTGCCTACCTACACAGCCCACACACCGCACACACATGCACACACACACAACTGCACCAATGCATTAAATCCGACTCTCTATCAGAGCTGCCGCGTAAGCGTTCCCACCCTGCCTCTTGGTATTGTACAGTACCAATCTAACTGGCGATTATTTAGAGTAGGTATTTGAATTGTATGCCGTCCCCGATTCAAAGCTCACCTTGGAAGGTTTTGGCGGCCAGCGACCTTCCTCTCTTTCTTCCTTCATTTCCTCATACCCTGCGCGGCGGGTACTAGGCCCCATGCGAATACGGTACCATACTTTGAGCATCTGCGAGGGAAAAAGAAAATTGAAAATAGATGACAACGACAGCAACAGTGCCTCCCCGCTGCAGGTATTGCGCATGAGGAAAGCTGTGAGGAAGTACCGTTACGGATTTCTTTATTTTCTTCCTTCCTATACCACTATCAAGTGGTTGTCGCAACAAAGTTTATTTGAACTTCGCACAGTGATTGACATGGCTCACCGCAGTTCTGGGGAGGCCCCCGTGAGACAGAATTGGGCAAGTTGACTGGAAATAAAGGAACTTGATTAAAATTTGGAGTAGCAAGTCATCATCCGTCACTCATATTTTGAGGTATCTAAGTTGTCTAGAATACGATATAACTTTACACTGTAAGAACTGGGGCGAATGAACCTCACCGTAAGACGTCCAGAATTTCCTTCCTCGGATAAGGGGGGAAATCGCCCAGAAAAAGAGCCTGCTTCCAGCCCCCCGCTGAGACAAATAAAAAGAAAAATACGGTATTCCTTACCAGGAGAGGCAACTCCAACACCCCAACGTGAAGCTCAACTATATATTCCAGTTCTCACCGTTCTGGGATATCTAACTCTGGCTGCCCTCCACGGCTGAAAGGTAGACAAGTTCCTTGCAGAACATAGTCTTCCAAGATTTGTTCAACCCAACAAATATGAAGATGCCACAGCCATGGATATCACGCGCCGTATGCTCGGGCAGCTGTCAAGCGAAATAGAGTTATCGGAGCCGTATAAACGCGGGGAGCGTACCCGGATCTTGGGGAAGTAGTCCTTATGGAGAGGTAGGTATGATACTTCACTCTAAGAGTAGAAGGATGTTTAGGCAGTTATTCACCTAGAATTGTTTGCGCACTACTCAAGTGCAACTCGTACCCTTGTTTTGCGATTTCACTCAAGCTGTATAGGTCGTGCTGAAGCCCTTGGAGCAAAAATACCGCTACTGTGAGAACCAGTGCTTGCACCGCATAATATGATACCACTTTACCTGACACATTTCTAGGATATCAGAGCTTCCCCCAATAAACATAGCAGGGTGTCTCTCGCCAAATAAACGATACCCATACTGCATAACAACCAGACAGCGCGCTCTGTGGCCCGTGTGTCTGGTAAATTTATCTAGGTGGAGGGTTCGTACTTGTCAACAAAGGGAGCAGAAAGTAAACACACCAGACAGCTCAGCCCTAGCATGGCATCCTGTTGACGCTATGCATGGGGAGGGGGTAGTTGAGGAGCAGGCAAGATGCTGTAGCAATTTATCCGGATATATGATGCTCCTATTGCACCCGAACCTATCATAACAAGAACCAGATGGCTACTGCCAGACTCCTATGACGGGGAGACCATGCGCAATAATAAAAGACTTGGAAATTATTGGAGAGGACAACACTCCACATACAATGAAACCGACACTAGACAACTGATTTTTTGAACAAAAAAATCTTTTGAAGGGACCCTCTGGTACAGTACCGGTATATGGGGTTAATGGTTAATAGTTTTTAACTTTTAATTCTATGTTGGGAATATGCTCAATAAATAAACTCAGAAGTATTTGATGTAGTTTCCTTTCACGAAGGTAGGCAGCTTGGCATTGCCGAGCACATAAGGAAGTTTGTACTGCACTGCGCACAGTCTCCCAGCGCCAGTGCAGTTGAGGGAAGGACTTGTTCTTGCGCGGAGTGGAGATTTGGCCATTGTTATTTGTTTGCAAGACATCCTTGGCAGCTTCCGAAACCGTGTTTCACAGCGGGCGTATCAGCAAAGCCAGCTGCAGGCCGGGAAAAGACAGCTATTCGGTGTCACAATTTGTCACTCGAACCCATTTTACGCGTTCGAGGATGTCGCTGTAAGAAGGTTGCCAATAGATTGCTTGCGAGTAGAATGGCTCTTTTGTAGGGAACCGGGGGTGTTACTGTTCGGTTGCGTTACTCACGGCCTTTGGTCGATCATAATGACCTCGCACATAAGCTATGATACCCCCAGGCAATACAACAGTCGGGGAGAGAATTTGATCAGGACAGTCACTTTTTGTCTTGGCCTTTTCCTTTTTTACCTTCTTTCTGTTTTGCAATGTTTTGTTGACTCGGTACTATTCTCATTCTAAACTAAGTAGACTCGGGCCTAGCGATGGGTTGTAGTGGTGACTTTGAATCTACACCAAGTTTTACTTAGCGGTGGAAGCCACATCTTCGCTTGGTGCAGGGCCATTATGGAGTACGGTACGGTAGCTTGCGATGGATAGGCTGTGACTGAAAGCGGTCGCCGTCACTGCATCGCTGCTACTTTCTCCTATCATACAAAACATGCGGCGCTGGGTTGACATGGCACCTTGGCGTATCATCCCTAACCCTTCCTTCCATCACGGGTTTCCCTTGTGCTTGCATTCTCCTTTTCGATTGTTTTCCCCTTTCCTCCTTTCCTCCTCCCCACACTCGCTCCGATTCCTTTCATCGCCCCCCCAGTTACCTCTTTTTGCTGTCTGCTCTTCGCTTCTCAGCCTAACATTCCTCGCTGCTGATTCATTTCTTGCTGCTTTTTCGCTTCTCCATTTGCTTTCTACACACCCTACCTTCAGCTGGCCTGTCTTGCGCGAATCGACAAACAAACTTCCTATTTCACGGAGGTCTCGTTGTCAGCAAGCAACCAGCCCCACCGCTCCCCACTACCTCTTATAGGCCTTGTTTGAGCTTTGACATCGTTTTCTAAGTTTCTATATTTTCCCCTTGTCTAAAGCTATGTCCCTTCAACAAACCTACTCGAGGTTTCTTGCCTCTCCTTCAGCAGAGGCTCTTTCCGCTTCGCCTTCGATGCATTACATTACCACTCTTATCACACTTAACTCTGCGGAGACGATTATGAAGTACCTCAAACGTGAGCCAAACCTTCTTAAGAAGCGTATGGAAAAGGTCCTTTCGGCTGTTGAAACGTCTGATCGCTTGGTTCTTGAGGTCGAGACCGAGCTGGAGTTGATCAAGAATGGTGGAAACTATCTCCCGGCAATGGATGATAATTTCTTGGCTGATCAGGTTGTCGTATTTCCAATTGTAAGTAGAAACCTCCTGTCTTGGTGGGTTTGGCATTAGCTTTCTATCTCCTTATCCATTTTTGCCGTTGCCATTTGGTCTCCCGTGTGGTTGATACAAGGCTAATGTTTTGTACCAGGTTCATTTCGTACATTTTGAAAACGGGCTTATCAAACAAATCCGCATTCATTGGGACCAGTCCAATGTTCTCAAACAACTTGGAGTTATTGGTCGTAATGGGAGGAACTGGCCTGTTAAAGACGGTCGTGAGCAATGCAGGCTCATTGCGACCTCGATGTCTGGTATTCCAGCCTCCGTACCGTCCTCATCAAACAGCAACGGCAATGGTATTCAGACCACACGAAGCAGAGGTGGTTCAAACAGTAGCAAGATTGATCATCCTACTCGCGATCCCCATGCTAGTCTTGCTCTCTTCACCCCACATGAATCTGATGATGAACGCGAGACGGTTGATCATCCTAAAGTCTCCCCCCGTAGTTCTGCAAAGCCCCCTTCCCGTGATCTTGGGGATATCCTTGCCGGAGCGCACTCTCATGATACTGGCCCGCTTCCACCAAAAGCCCGTAGCAGTTTCACCCCTGGCAGAACATTTGAGATTGGTAATGGCGAATCAGTTGAGAGCTACCCGGTTCAAAAGAAGATTGAGCGCAAAGTTACTGTTGACTCGAAAAAGTATGAACACTTTGAGTTTTCCGATGAGCCTGTGGCATCTGCTCCCTCTGCCGGAACACCTTTCTCCAAACGCAGTCAGCATGGGTCTTCTTGGGCATTTGAGGATTTCGTTACCCCAGAGAAGAAACCTCTGAAGATCCGCAAGGACGATGTGAGACACTTTGGGTGGACCGAAGAAGACGGGCAACCAGAAACCCAGCCTATCAGAAACAATAAGAACTTTGGTTCCCGGTCTCGCCAGAATACCGAAACCCACTTCACGATCAAAGATGAAGATACCCCGGAGCCACACTCAAAGGTTTCCGCCGCCCCTATTCCGGATAAGCGTGGCAATGTCTCCCAATTTGAAATCGCCGACAATTCTCCTGCAGGAAGCCATGCAGCAAGACAAAAAGAGCCTACTGCTAGCCGAAAGGCTGCTGTGAGACAGATGAATGCTCATTGGGGCGAACATGAGAGCCCCGACGAGGATGATGGTGATTTCTTTGCCGGATTCGGTGGTGAGGCCAAGCCTATGGGAATCAGAATCGCCGGTGATGGAATGGGTATCAGGAAGAGCACTGGGAGGAGCTGGGCATACGATGAACAAACTTCCGAGAAGCCTCAAGAATCTACTATCAGAATTGCTGGTGACGGTATTGGTACGGCAAAGGCCGTTGGCAGACAGTGGCAATATGATGACCCTAACGCAGAGCGCAGGGGGAGGCGATAGGCTCCAAAGCCAACCGGGACCACTTGTTTAGGGTGCTGAGGAGTTGAGGCGATTCTTTCTAATGTCTGTTGAAATGCTTTAACGGCCATCGCAGTGTCAAAAATAGCGAAGATATTGCCCTGGTGGTTTTCATTTTTCATTTTTTTTTTTTCCACTGAGTTTTAGTGGCGGTGCTCGACTCTGGGGAGTCTTTTGTTTTCGGGGGACTCCCGGTCATCAATTGTCACTTACACCTGTATTGTTATATCATACCCTTTCCTTGACCCCGTGTTATATTCCCCTTTTCGATTTTGGATTTTTCCTCCTTTCTCGGGCCAGAGAGCCAGGCCAATCGCTCATCAAAAAACAAAAATTTCTCGTTTCACTCATTGTCACAGTATTTTTTCCTTTTATTTTGCCCAGAGAGGTTCACCCCTTATAGTCAGTTCAAATGGTGAGGAGTTTCTGTAGTTGGGTATGATAGCGCGTCAAACAAAGACTATTCAGAGAGTGTGTACTGTGTGCCAGTACAATTTGTATTGCACACCACACCGCACCCTTTCCCTGCGAACAGATTGGGCCGGGTTTTTACAAACGGGCGCTACCTGATGCTACCGGCTAGATTGTAACCACTGCTTCCTTTTCAACCGCAATATTAGATTTAACCCCTTTCATCAAAATTGTAAAAAAAAAAAAGGAAGTGAGAATGAGTGATGGGTGGTGAGTGATGAACAATGAATGATTTTTAAATGCCATGGCTGGAGGCCGCAAGAGACCCCTCCTTCCCCGGGGTTTTATTCACAAATATGAGCATCGAACTCTACGTCCTTTCCTCATGGTAATGTACATAAAAAGAACTAAATCTATCTTTTTCCAAACGTTCCTCATACTTCTAGGCATCCATCAGTCCATCCTGAAGAACCTACGCCAACCTAGGCCGTTGCCTCCTGTGTCGACGACGTTGGCGGCGGTGGCGATGTAGGCGGTAGATTTTCTAAAAGCTCCGGCCGGTTCTGCGCCATAACCCGCCCAATATACTCTAAGTTCGAGTCCGACAACTGCGGCGGACCCAGCGCCTTCCTCTCCTTCCTCAGCTTCCGATTGAGCTCTTGCACCGCGGTCAATATGCGTTCTCCATCCTTGGCCTTCTGCGCTGCGTCCTCGGCCTCCTTCTTTGCGACCCACACGGGATCGTGGCGGGTCCTGAACTTGGAGTACTTATTCCTGAGTTCGTCGATGACCTCCAACGGGAATGGTGGGGCAAGCAGAGTGGGGAAGTAGCTAGGCATCTCCACATCCATTATCCGCGTGTCACCGGGGTGGTCAACGTATTTCGGTTTCTCCTTTGGCGGCCAGGGGATCACGACGCCTTCCATTCCAGGCACGAGGCGTTTCCAGGAGGAGGTTCCGTTCTTGTTATGCCAGATGTTGGACATTTCGATGTTTGCTATTATGGTATCGCGGAGGGCGCCCGTGGCGGGGTCGGGGAGGGGGTAGACGAGGCGGACGTCGTGGTAGCTTATGGAGAGTTCGGAGTGGTAGATCCTCTGCTGTTTGGTATCTAATTCAAACACTGCGTCTGGGATTTTCATCGGTGCCTAACTCCATCCATCCATCCATTCGTTAGTCCTCCCCCCATCCGAGAGAAAAACTCAAACCGACCATATTAATCCCTTGAACCATCAACGTAGCTGTCGCCTTATCCACACTTTTGACAACCCCAATCTTATGCCTGTCCACCCCGGCTAAGACAACGACCCTGTCACCCGGGACGATGTTCCAATACTTTACCCGCTCCTCCTTCCGGATTGGCAACGGCCGCGCCCGCTCGGTCGCGACCACGCTCATTTCGTCCGCCTCTGCGGACGTCATCGCTCGCCGCGGCCCCAGCGGTCCCAGCATACGGTCTTCCTTCGCCTCCCGCCGCGACTGCTTCTGGTCTGCGTGTGCGATGCGCTGGATCTGCATGCGGACTCCCATAGCCTCTTTTATCCGCATGCGCTTGTTGTGTTCCCGCACTCGGGCGAGCTTGCGCGCCGCTTGGCTGCGTGCGCGGATTGCGCGGGAGGTGGCTTTCAGCATTACTTTGTTTCTTGAGGTAGGTTGTGGTGATGATCGGATGGGAGGCGGTGCTGGTGCTGAGTTTGATGCTGGAAAATCGGTGAAGGAGAAAAATGTGGGTTAGAGGAGCTTGCGGCGGGTAACTTTTGGTGGGGGGGTGCTACCCTGTTACACGTTGTGGGACATATGGAATGGGGTGAAGGCTACTCTAGGGAAGGAATGGTTCTTTTTGTTTCCGAGAGGACGGAGGCTTTCCCGAGTATATTTTACCCCAGGAATTGGCAATGCTTGCTTTACATTCTATAGTAATTGAGTGATGGTATCCTGGGCCGGATGCATAAATAGTCACTCGTTCATGATGTGAGTGTGTGTGTTCCCGAAGTAGGAGAGAAGAAGCTTGATTTTCCAAATGCAAAACGAGAAGAGATCCTAATATACTACATCCACTAAGCAGTCACACCGAACACTGTGGCCTATACCATATAGGCCACCTTTCAACACCAGGCAGTAGCCACCTTTTCAATATGACGCAGTAGTGATACCCTTATTCCGACATCTAACTATAAGAGGTACCCAATGCGGTAAACCACTTATAATTAGATCAGATGTAGTCACAGATTGAGAAAACGAACAAAAGTCTTTTGACTAAAGGAAAAGAAGGAACTACCTCTGTACAGCGGACAGGGACTAAGTCCAACACATGAGAGCAAGCTCCACGGGAAAAGAGTTTTGCTTTGAGATTAAAAGACTACTATAAGCAAACATCTGCGAGTAGATTTCATAGGTTTATATGATAATATTATCATAGTCAATTGTAGAGGGGTAATTGCCCCAATTTCAATAGGTCTCTGGGGTCACTCACCATAATGCCTATCGAAAATTGAAGAGCCAAGTCAATCCTATCCCTAACCCTTAGCAATCACCGATTAGATTATTTGATTAGATGAAAGCACACAAGATCCCCAGAGCTCTCTACATTCACAATCCACCGAACAAGCAAGCTACTATACTCCTCAACGTGTGGGCCACCATAAACCCTCAACCTTAATTCCGCAAACCCGCCAGCAGCTAGCCAAGCAATGGGTGACCCCCGAGCCGAAGCAGCTCTACTAAAGCACTACCGACTCCAAAACCCCTTTCCCGAAACCTGGTCCGACCCGATCGAAGAGGCTCAAATCATCCAGCGGCAGCAATCCCGCGCATCGACCTCCCGCTACTCCATACTTCAAGAGGAGGGGGTATCTGCGTCTCTGAGGGGCCTCGTAGGCGGCGATGTGTATTCTACCGGGGTGATACCCGAAGACGAACCGGACCCGCTGGGAACGACGGGCTCGGTCGTGCGCGTGCTTGGGAAGAAGGGGTTGCCGGTGAGGGATAATGTGCGATTACGTTAGTTTCTCTTTGCTCCTTTTGCTGGTTGGGCTCTCATTAATGATGGTGATTTATGATAGGTAATCGCTATCTCGTATCTTCAAAGACGTTCTCGCCGACTGCTTTCCTGCGCGACGTTCATGCTAATACCCCATCTCCGGCTTTGCAGCAAGGTCTCAATTATCTGAGCACTTCCATTGCACAGAAGTCAGGTTCTCTGAAGCTTTTAGTCGAGTCGAATTTTGATCGCTTCGTTGCCGCGAAGGGCACTATTGAGGGTGTTTACAAGGAGATGAAGGGGGACTCATTCCTGGATAAGGACAGGGAGAGTGAATGGGGTGTTGGGAAGATCAGGGGTTATCTGAACGATGCTGGGGCGAAGGCAGATGAGGTATTCGGTCCGGCAATGAGAGGCCGGGGGAGAGAGGAGGGGTTGAGGTTGGCTCTGGCTGTGCTGGAGAAGCATAGAGCTATGCTTGAGATGCCGGGTAATTTGTCGGAATGCATTAAACGGAAGGATTACGAATCTTTGATAGAGGAGTACCAAAAGGCTCGGAGCTTCCTCGAGGGGTCTAGGAAGCTCGTCCCCACTGGCAATATGGCGCCTGCTAAGGAAGACCATATCCATCAATTGGTCATTGCGGAGAATATGTGGGCGGAGGTCACGATCGTGATTAAGGACTTCAAGCGAGACACGTGGAAGCGGCTGGCCGAATGCCCCACCGAAGGCAATTTACATATGGAGCTTATCGGTATTCTGTTAGAGTTGGGTGTTGATGATAACCCTGTTTGGCTTTGGCTTCTTAGCCGCTATGACTATCTCAAGAACAGAATTACGACTCTTTTCGAGAGGTCAAGGGTGGAGATAGAAGGTTTGCTAATACGCTCCATATATAAGGGAACCATTCTAAGTTTTTTTACTCTTTCAAGTTCTTCGTCGCAAGATTGTGGAAGCTCCACCGCCGACGCCAAAGTCTGTCGCGCACCACCTCCGGTCGCCTTCCCGCCGGGCTCATGTTGATTCTTCAAAATCCCTGGACACCCACCTAATAACATCCTTCTGGGAGCTAGTATACTCTTCCCTATCGGCCCTCCTGTCACCTTTATCCGGGCTTGTAGGAGAACTTTTATCATTTCAAAAGACTGCGCAATCCTTCATCGACGGTGACAACCTTCTTCCCGTCGGCATCGATGACCAATCCCGCAAGCACCATCGCCTTGAGCCCGACGATGCCAGAAAACTTCAGGAAGGTATCTACGAATTAGCCTTAATGATTAGAGATTGCCTTGTTAAATTTTACACGGAACCACCCGTAGAGGACATCAGCGCCATGTATTCCCCAATTCCAGAAACTCCCTTGTCCGCAAACACCCCCGGGCAGGATCCTAACTTCCCACCGCCAGGTCCTGCTGTGCCGGGGGCGCAGGCTCAAAAGGACGAGGATGAGGCTTACGCTTTTGTGCCCCCGGGGACAAACAGTTTGAGTGGAGCGCACTATATGAGCAAGATACTAGTGCTCACGGGAAATGCATCTGTGGCGATATGCGAGATGGTTAGCCGTTTGGGACGAGCTGACTTTGCCGAGCGATTCCGAGCGATGGTTTCCGGGAGTCGGGAACGGGCAGTCGTGGCGGTGTGTGCGGCTTGGTTAAAAGACGCTGGGAATTGCAAGTTCTTGGAAGATTGGACAAGAGCAGGTGATAATAGGGATGTTACAAGAATGCCTGGACTTTTTGGGGCATTCGAGAGGGAGGTCATCAGCGGTATGCAAGCTATCGTATACTTGGATAAGGTTGTGAGGAGCGATAGTAGTGTTATCGTACGTGCATCAGTTTCCCACTCTCCTGGCATTGTTTGTTGACGCGGTTTCTGCAGCCTCCGCCGTCTGCCAAGCTTCTCTCACACGTTCGTGAGCAATTTGTGAGATCGCTTTATAAGTCGCTTCAGGGCATGGTTGAGAATGCCAAAACGCCTCTTGACTTGGATGCCCGGGACGGGGATCAGACAGATCTTGCGAGCCCCGTCACCAGTGTTGCGCCGAGGAATTTAACGGCGTATTCCGTTGACTCGAAGGATAAAAATGTCCGGATCCTGTTGACATTGAGCAATCTCCAATTACTCAGGAACGACGTAGTGCCTGAATTAATAGGCGTTTTTGAAAACGCGTTTTCGGTCAAGTTGACTGATGAGAGCAAGGTACTGTACATCTCCTTATTAAAACCATGAAGTGTAGCGCTGAAAGGTGCCCATACAGACAATCCGAGATGCCCAATCCCAAATCGACGCCCAGCTCTTCGAAGAATACACCAAACCCCTCGTGTCCTCCCTCTCAGACACCATCCGCCTCGGTGTCCTCTCCCCCTCCTGGCCCCCCCCGCCGGGGAAACTCGCGACCTCTGTGCGCCCATACATTTACACAGCCCTGCTATCCCTAGTCCTCGTCCACTCGCAGATCACCACCACAGCGCCGTCACTCACACACCCCATCCTCTCGTACCTCCTTGAGGCCATATCCGGAGAACTCCTGGAAGCCTTCAAGCAGCGCCACAGGTTCTCACTCGGCGAACTCCTCCAGGCCGCGCTGGACGTGGAGTTTGTCAATCAGACACTGAGTCAATACAATACGCCGCGCGCGTCGGAGCTCCAGCAGGGGGTTTATGTCGAGTTGGACCGTGGAAGTGATGCGGAGGCTAGGTTGGGGCTGAGGGAGGGATTGGGCGGGATGAAGAAGATTTTGGGAGAGTTGAGGGGGGGGTCGAGGGCCGAGTTGTGGGTTTCCCCTCCCGTTCCCATGTTTATCCGATCTGTGAAGATGGGCTGACTAATTCGTGGTGGTGGTGCAGTCTGTGTTTTAGAGCGAAGAAGAGCTCGTCGAAGAAGACACCGGCGGCAGTGGCTGGGGCGGCGACTGCTGAGGGGTAGAAGTGGGTTTGGTATCAGTGTTTTGTGGTGTATTTGCTATGATACTCCCGGTGAAATTTTTGGCGTTTTGGGATGTTGTGTCGTAAACCAATATGTTTTATTTTTATTTTTATTTTTACTTTTACATTTTTAAGTTAAGTATGATGTTATATATGATATCTAAGTCTGTAATTCATGTGAATACTTTTTTTTCTTTTCTTTTCCTTTTTCCTTTCCCTTCCCTTCCTTTTTTCAGAGATGTTCTGAGCCATTGGTGATGCTCTTTATCTCACTCAATCGCCTCGTCATTCCAAGGCGCAAGAACAGCGCCATGAGTTATTCACGATATGCACCACACTCCCTCTCGTACTATACAGGCCGGGTACAGTACACCACGACAGACAGAAAACCAGCTTCACTAAAAACGGCTCAGCACGATTCGCGTCAACAATTCCTCCCAAGGGGAAAACATACATGGTGAGCACATTAAGAATAGCAAAGGCAATAGCAAGTACTCGAGTATCAAATGACAAACTTCTTTATTATTAGACACATGCCAAGTCTACACGAACCAGCCAAGTAAACCGAAAAAAACCCTTACGGTTAACCGTACTGTACTGTACTAGTGCAGTACCCGCGAAAAGTAAAAATCGGAAAAACACAACAACCTTGTCCGAACAGAGATTTGCATTAGGTAGACTATATGGAAGCGGAAGAGAAGAAACAATGTAATTTTTCCGATTGCTGCTGATCGACAACGACCGGGTTGTGACAAACATACAAGTACCTTTTGCTATATAACTCCCCTCCCGAAAGGCACAAATTACCGGTTTAAACTTACCGGAGGGAAGGGACAATCATTTCCCCAAGGACTGCGGTAGACCAGACTAACTTACGGATGAAGGAAGGAAGAAAGAAAAGGAGTGGCGCTACGATAAGTAGTAGTGAGTAAAAATTGTGGAGTGAGAATTGTGGCTAAAGTGGTGGATATTGGAGGGGCGGGGGGTTCGCTCTGATACCGGTATTACTATAATTAATCCAAGTCAGAGAGATTCCCCTTCGTTCATTCTCTCGAACTCCCCCCCGCTTCCCCGATCCGAACTTGGAAACCCGGTCCGAAGTTGGATAGTTGAAAGTAATGACCCGAACCATAACAAGTATATTGCCGGGTACCATAAGCGGTGAGTGCCGTGTATCATAGTAAGTAACTTTCTGCTTCTGGATGCTTACAAGGTACCAACCAATGCTCTGGTATCAAATCAGACCGACCGACGGGACTCTAGAAAGCACAGTTTCAGTGCTCGTAGACCATATCTGAAATCGGTAACTCCCCCCCACTTCCAGATCCTGTTCTCCCTTTTTCCTCACCCCCCGATATTCCGGTATTCCGGGTTCGATCTTGCTCCTTTCTTCTCACATATGATACAAGAGGATCTTTTTGCCATTTAGATATCATATCATCCACCAGCGCTTATAATTTTTCTTCCTTCTTCTTCTTCTTCCGCCCCCCTCCTCCCCCTTCCCGAGGATCTATGATATCTATCATACTCTCTCCTGTTGCGTTCGACGCTCAGTACTACGGTAGGAGAGAAGGCGATAGCATGATATTACGTGAGAAATACTTTGCCAGCGATACAGTCGGTCAAGATGTTCAAGAAGACAATTCACACCCCCTTTTGCGATCCATTCACCATGCAGGGGAAAGGGTGAATGGAAAACTCGAGGAATCCTCTCATATGATGATAAAACCCCATGGGAAAGCGTGAGGGGGACCAAAAAGACCTTAGTTATTTATTATTATTATACAAGCCACAGCGAGTTTATTGTATGATAGTTTGCGAAAAAGGCAGGTCACATGATGCGAGGTGGTATTATGGAAATGTCATACATATATACCCCCTATCACAAGTAACGTGAGGTCCGCAAATCGGCGAGGTATCATAGCAGGAGACTCCCTTTTACAAGTTACAGACCCCCGAGTTACCACAGTATCATATTACAGTACGACACGGCCCTGTGCGACTCCCGCGACAGGACATGATGAACCCAAGCTACCGTACCCCAGTAAACGAGCAAAAACACAAGGTTATGATGAAAAAAAAAAATGAAAAAAAAAAAAAAAGAATTCGCAACCGTGGCGGCTATGATAAGACTACCGGTAGTTAATCCAGAAACATTATGATACCCATTCGCCAAGCCCGAGTCGTTGCTCCGCATTGCGTTTTTTTTTGTCCGTTCCGTTCGTTCATGATAAGCACAGTACTGTACCCTACTGTAAACTGTGCCAGTACTAGTACTGGTACTGTGCCCGGGAGAAAAGCCACGCGGTACAGTACACTGGGTATAAGTGGAATGCGACCGACTCGCCCGCACCCTTGCTTTTCACTCAATTCGAGGCAATTCGGAGGATGGGGTTATCACATATATACTTGTTGAGGGATAGATAGCGGTAGAGTGAGACGGAGTGCGGTATCATTACCCACAAAGTTGGCGTTCACTAATACGGAGAGGAATGCACCGCACGCACACGGTAGATGGAGTATTACGGTACGCGGAGGGGCGATGGAGAAGGGGAACGGATCTCGAAGCCGAATCTTGTTGGGGAAAAGAAAAAAAAGAAAGAAAAAAATCTTTTTCTCAAGGTTTGGAGGTGCGCCGATTGAAGAAACAGTCTGAATTAACCATTACG